AGCAATCCAGATTTTTATGTGAGATCTCCTGATGTTCAAATACTGGCACATAATTCATTATTTTTAAAATATGGAATTCCTAGCAAGATTCATCTGTTTGTACCCACTGACTTGAGGGGCAGAGCCCTCCCAGCTGTTACTGGCTGTTGGGCAATTGCCCTCTCCCTGCAAGAATCAGAATCCTGGCTGGGCTGAAGTCGCAAGGAACTCAAGAGAGATCTTAATTAAGCTCCAGGCAGAGCGCCTATTAGTTGATAAAGGCTTTGGAAAAGAGTGAAGGAAAGAGTCCCCTGAGGGCTGGAGCTGTGGAGGAAAGCTAAAAGAAGGAGGTGGGCTTTGAAATGGGCTTTGGGGGCTGTCGGACCGGGAAAAACTGAAGAACAAAGCACAGTCCAGAGGAGGGATGGAGGGAGATGGGGAATTAGGAGGAACTGAAAGCTCTAACTCAGAGCTTTGCCTGTTCAAGTGCGGATGCAAAATGTCACACAGCATCACTCTCCAGAGGATTCTACTAGGAAGCTGACTGTACACTGCTCTGGGCTGGTGGCACCTGGAGATAGCACCAAGGATGCAGGCTCCTCCCAGGAGAAAGGACAGTGCCCAGTTCCCTGGATGTGGCCTTAGCTGGAAGTCCTCTACCCTGTGCAGACCTTACTCAACACATGATCTGCTTACGTGCATCCTCCTTCACTAGAACTAAGCTCTTCTAAAGCTGGAAATGTGACTTCTATGTGCTGGGCGTACAGAAGGTCCGCAATGAATGAGTGTCACATGATCCACTGAATGAAACCAAAGAACAAGAAGCAAGACATCAAAGAATAGGGCACATGCCCACACTTCCAGAACTGAACATTTCCCTCAGGGAAAATGAGCAAAGGCTTCAGTGCTCACTGCACACAGCAGCCATGAAGACCTGGTGTTTGTACAGAGAAATACCCCGTGTGGGGTGTCGGGAAAAGGACAGTGTCACCCCATAAAGACCAGAGTCAGTGAGGCTTACAACATCCCAAAGCCCCCAGGAGATAGACACGATGCACAACCTATCAAAGCTCCAGTGGGTGTCTCGGATCATTCTAGAATTAATGTATTATAAAAAATTAAAATAAACTAACTTATTATTTTAAGCCCTTCCCTGGACAGATGGTGCAGCTGAGAGGCTCAGGGCACCTAGGGGACTTGTGTCCAGTCACACAGCAAGTCTAGGGGCACAGGCTGGACCAGAGCTCAGCTCTCCTGACTCCCATTCCAGAACACTCTAGACTAGGAGCAGAGCTGGGACTAGGGTGAGGCAGGTGAGGCACACCCGCCCGAGGAGCAAAATGTAAGGAGGCAAAAAAGCTCTGTAATCAAGGTAAGTAGCATTTTGATGCAATATTTATTTTTTTGGATGCAATATTTTTTAAAAAACAAAACCAGTGCAAAACAAATCCATGATAAGCAACACAGCAACTTTTAAAACAAAGACTTAAAGTTGTACCCTCGTGTACCTCAACCTCCTCCACTGCACCCTGATCCCAGCCTAGACTAGGAGCCCCGAAGTGACAGCTAAGACGCAGAGGAAATGGTTGTGTGGAAACCTATAGGAAGATCACGCCAGGATCTTAGCTCCCCGACAAGGGACTGAACCTGGACCCTCGGCAGTGAGAGCACAGAGTCCTAACCATTGGACCGCCAGGGAATTCTCTCAACCTCTGCACTTTAGAATCACTCAGGAAACTTCAAAAATTCCCTTCCAGGGAATTCCTAGGACATGGCTTGCTTGGGGTGTCTGAGGCACAAAAAAGAGGCACAGTGCTGGGAGAGGTGGCAGGTGAATGCCACCCCGAGCCCCATCCCCACCCCAACTTGCAGGGCAGCATTTTTCCTGCAACAAGCTGTGTGCCGGGGACACCCAGCTCGATCCCCTGCCAGGAGAGCTCAGGGAGAAAATTCCACCCACCACCCCCCTTCCTAGACACCCCCCTCCTAACTCTAACCAATTGTCTCGTAAATCTTAGCCTTTTCACCTCCAGGGGCAGGATGGAGTAAAAAGTTTGGACAGCTCTGGGTAACCCTTCCTGCCATGGAAAAACAACCCAGAACTTTATGACTTACTGACAGTGGGTTATGAATGGGAAAGAAAGCATATCCTTAAAACACAGACCGTAACTCCCTTTTAAGGTATTTCCTTGGGGCCAGAGACACCACATCTTCCTCCTGCCCCCGGTCTAATAGCAGCTTGTTTTTTAGTGACAAGCTTGGGCTTTTGGGTCAGCCAGGCCTGGATTCAGATCCAGTTTTGCCATTTACTGGGCCTGGACAATTTATTGAGACGAGACGATAGCAACTCATGCTTCCAGGGGTCCGGGGGTAACTTAAAGGACATGATGGGGGCTGAGGGGCAAACCATAGGCAAAGGGGGCAGGGCACAACCCAACAACAGCACACTGCTCTCATGGGGGATGTCAGCCAGACCTCCCAGTGTTTCAAAAGAAAAAAAAATTATGTGAAATCTCCTGATTTTTACAGGCTGGCCAACTAATTCAAAATTAAAAAAAAAAAAATGTCAACCCAGAAGGGCCAAATAAAGCAGGTCTTCGAGCCAGAGCCCACCGACTGGCCCAGTTTGTGCCTCTGACATCCACAAATCACCCAGCAACCTGCCTGGCACCTAGTAGGTGCTCAGCAAACACAGGCCATTTCCATCTTTTCAGGAAACTCTCCAGGCATCATCAACATCCATTTCCACACAACAGCTTGGGAAGGAATGCTTCTCAGGAGGAAAATGAAGATACAAAAAGAAGAGCTGAAAATCTGGAAGGCTCCAAAGGGAGGGAGGAACTGCCAAGGGAATTCCTTAAAAGGATTTAAAAGAATTTTATTGGCCATAGTTTAGCACAAGTCAGGGATAAGATCAGGCAGTAATTTAACTCCTGGGCCCAGCAAGTGAGTCTGTGCCTGTGGGGTGGATGGGGGGTGGGAGGGAGGAATTGTTCTTACTGTGGTCTCCACCAGTGTCTCGGGTCCTCTGTCCACAGGTCACCCCAACATCTGCCTCCGACTCATAGCGTTCTGATGGGGACAGCGCCTCCACGGAGGGGCGCATAAGGCTCAGCTGATCCTACAGAACAGGAAGCAAGGGCTTGAGTCTCCCCACCCTCCCACCCCAGTGGATCTCGTAGCTCACATGTACTTTGAAGTCAGACCCAGCTGGGTTGAGTTTCAAGTCTTCAACATCAGAGGTTCTCAAAGCGTGATCCCGAGACCAGCAGCGACCCCATCAGCAGCGGCAGCGGCAGCAGCAGGGAACTTGTTTGAAAGGCCCCACCCCAAACCCACTGAAACAAAACCTCAGGGAGGGCGGGGGGTGGGGGAGGCAACCACCTGGGTCTTAACAAGCCCTCCAGTGGATTCCGATGCACACTAAGTTTGAGAACTCCCGCTCTCCATCTTTATCCTGCGGTCTTCAGCAAGACCTATGTCTCACTGAGATGATCAACTCTATCCTATGGGACTGTCCTAAGCATCCCTCCAACAACTATTTCAGAAGCCTGGTCTGTCTGTGCCAGACAGTGCGGAAAATGCTGGGAGGACAGCACATAATCCTGGCCCTGATGGAGCTTGACGTCTAGTGGGGAGACAGATAATAAGCAAAAGGAAAAAAGACATAAACGCCAATTTTCAGAAGGGAGAGGAAGGCAGGGGCCTGACCCACCACGTAGAGCTGCGTTTCTCAAAGTGCGCTCCAGGGACCGCCTGAGCACCAAAGCCCACACAGCCAGGCAGACCTCCTTTCCTACACGCCCCCCAATACTCCTCTCTAGTGTCCCTGCTGCTCCTCAAACACACCTCTCTCTCCTGGGCTTCGGGGCCATTGTCTTTGCGGTTCCACCTACCCGGAAAGCTCTCTTCCCAGATCTTCCAAAGATGGGCTGCTTCTCCTTGCTCAGGGCTCAGTATAAATGTCGCCTCCCCCTAGGTCTAGCTAAAGCGGTCTCTCCCCTCGCTCTGCAGCCCCACCACCTGCTCGGGCTTCCTCCCTGCCCTTCTCACAGCCTCCCATCTTGCACCTCAGCGGCTTTGCTGGTTCTGCCTGTCTCCCAACAGAAAGTGAGTTCTTGGGGGCAGCTCCTTGTGGCGGTGGCCTCTGCGGCACGGGTGAGCCGTGACACCCCAACCCTATTCCTCTTCGCGCTGGCCCAGAAAGAGCAGCACTCCCAGCTCCGGAGCCTGCTCCCCACGCCTGAGGAGGAGGCCACAGGCCGGGCTCAGGGCAGGGTTTCTTCTCGGCCTTGCTGGGTGCTCTGATGGTGAGAAAGGGCGGTAGAGACTGGAAGGAAAAGAGGAAAACGGGGTGCGAGGCCAGCGACCCTAAAAGGCCGGCTCTGCGGTGGCGCCCTCTCTTGGGCAGAGCCCTCCAAACCAACCCCCAGCAAAGGCGCGACTCGTACCAATTCCGGGTCGAGGCGTCGCTCTCAGCCGGCTCGGGACCCCAGGACCCGGTCCGAGTGCCCCGCGTCGGCTGGGGGTGCTGGCAGCTGGGCCACGCGGACTCCGGGCCGGTGGTGCACAGGGACTTGGAGGGAAAGGCACCTGGCGCGGCACGTGCTGTCCCTAAGAAGTTGACGCCGCAAGGCGCGTGCAGTCCCTGGCCCGCAGTGGCACGAGGGCCCCAAGGGCAACGGCGCACTCAGACCTCCAGGGAGAAGCACAAGACCGGGCGCGTGGTGCGTACGGCCCCGGGGCAGCGGAGCGTGGAGCCTTTACGTGGCACGTTGGCGCCTGGGGCAGTGACGCGAGGGGTCCAGGGCCAGCGGGCACTCGAACCTCCGGGGGAAGCACCTGACCCCAGGAGGCTGGCGCGCGGCGGGGCGAGTGCATCCCGAGGGCAGCGGAGCGCGGGGACCACGAGGGCAGGCGGGCGGACGCCGCGTGGGCCCCGCATTCCCCGCCGCCGCCCGCGCTCCCCGCCCCGAGCGCCGCCCCTCCCTCCGGCCCGCCTCCCGCCCCGCTCCCTCCCTCCGTCGGCGGCTGCCTCGCGGCGCTCCCGGCGCACTCGGAGCCCGGCGGGGACCGGGAGGCAGAGGCTGGTGGCCCTGGGTCCGAGTGCCGGAGCCGAGCGGGGCCCGGGGGCCGAAGTTTGCCGGCGGCTCCAGGAGGTGGCGCGGGTGGCTTCCAGCCCCTGATCGTGTTCTCGCCGGGACCCGCCGGCGAGCCGCGGCCCGGCCAACTCCGCGGTGGGGACGCTGTGCCGCGAACTTGAGGTGGGAACTTGGCGCGCTGCAGCCTCTCCGAGCACCGCCGGACTGGCGGACTCGGGCTCCGGTAGGGGGAGATGCACGTGGCCGTGGCCCCGGCGCCCCAGAGGGGACCCCGAAAGCCACTGAGGGGGGCGGCCGGGACGACAGAGGATCCGGGAGCAGCTGCGGGCGGTGGGGTGGAGCGCGCTCGCCACGGTCATGGTGCGGGTCCAGCTTCTTTTCTTCCCTGGGGTCCCCGGGGTGCGAAGTGACAGGGCGGGGGGGGGGGCACATCCCGGCTGTGGCAGAGGTTTCTCGGCGTCTCGCGGGAGGATCTAGGGAAGAGGGAGTGTTGGGGGGAGGTGGTAGGGGGGCGTCTGTCACTCGCTCATTCACTCCATCCTTAGGCACCGCTCCGAAGGGAGCATCCCGTCAGTGGGCTTTACTGAGTCACGCATTAACGCCACAAGCTTTTATTGAGCGCCCACTGTGTGCTGGGCTCTGGGGACTCCTCAGCCTCCGGGGCTCCCTACCAAGAAGGGGCTCAGCCTGGATGGATTGGAGTCTTCGGATGAGGAAGGAAAAGAGAGAAGTTCATTCATTCATTCATGGATTGGACAAAGATTGGTTGAGCACCTACTGCGCACAGCTCACCATTGCAAGTGCCCAACGTTCATTATTTCATTCATTTAACAGTTATTGAGGCACAACTGTGCTGAGGAGAGAACCGTGAAGGAGAGGGATGGGATGGGGGCAGGAGAGGATGGAAGCCAGCTTGCAGCTTGGAGAACATCCCCCCTCCCCATGTGTGTAGGCAGAATGTCACTGGACAGGTTGCAGAACAGCCTTTCCTTGGTTCACCTACTGCATTCATCCTCAAGGGGAGGGGGGGGGAGGCTGGTGTTGGATAAGAAGAAAAGGTCTTTAAAAAGCTCTTTAGGGGAGGGTGGTAGTGGGGAGGGGGGCTGAGAAGCACTGATCTAACCATAGCGATGAAGGGAGGCTCCCACCAACGGGGTGTATTGGTTAAGTTGTCCATTCCGCAGGCATTTTCTTAAGCACTTGCTCTTCTTAAGTACATACAGGGTGCCAGGCACCAAAGTCACCAAGGAGAACGAGACGGACACAGAGACCCCGTTTGCTGATCCCTCAAGACAAATGCAGGGGAGGTGGGAGAAGGGAGCAGGAACTGCTCTGATTCATTGTGTGTGTGTTAAGGGGGCAGGGGCTGCTTCTGACTCTGTGAATCTAAGCAGAGGTTTATTCACTAGGGTGTGTTTGATACCCACACACATGACTGCAGTCAGAGTCACTTCAGGGACCCACCCCCCCGGAGCACGTTTCCAAGGCAGATTTGGCACTGCTGGAGCCTCCAGCCCCAGTGCTGGAGCCAGGGGAGGGGCAGGTAGCCAGGACGTGCCGGCTTTCTTGAGTGGACTTCTCAGAACCTGTCAGACCTGAGCTTGACCCTGTGTCCTCTGTCTTGGAGCTCTGCAGAGGCACCTGCAGAGCCGGGAAGGAGGGAGGGAGGGAGGGTGTGTCTGAAAGACAGGTGAGGATGGCCCCTGGGGATTGCCCTCACCAGTCATTCCCTAAGCCAGCCCATTCCAGTGGAAAGATGTCTGTCATGGGACCCACTCCAAACCCACAGGGGACTGTGAGTGTGCTAGAAACAAGACAGCCCTGATTCCTGTCCCAAGCCTTGAGAACCCAGGCTGGGGGAGTCCTGGAGTCTGATTGGGGCAGATCTGGGGGCTAAGCTCCTGTCCCACTGCCATTCTGAATTCTCTGCACCAGCCACACAGCTGGGCTCTGGCAAGAGATGAGGGAGATGCCCCAGGGAACAGAAGAGCAGAGAGATGTGTCCTGGATGTAGAACTGAGAGACTCAAACCGAGACTAAGGAATTAACCCCCTGGACCCCTAAAAGGTATCTTGACTGGGCCGTCTTTTCTCCACATCCCCCTTCCGAATATGTGAGGAAGAGTCAACGTTTCCGGTTGCCAAAGATATAGGGTCTGGGAATCCACTCTTGGTTGGCTCATTAAACCCAGAGATGGAGCCCCTGGGTGGAAAATGGTGGCTGGAGAAGCCACTCTAAAGAGAATTAATACAAAGGGGGAGGCAAGAAAGTCTAGCTGCAAGCACTCAATCCCTGCTGGCCATTTTTGTTCCATAGCAGCCAGTATTTGACTGACAAAGTCAGAACATGGAGTGAATGTGCTCCAGATGGGATCCGAATGGTGCCTCAGCTCTTCCCCTGCCCTGTGATCACAGCCTCACACCTGCGTCTCCCCGGGCGGGCGGGCACGCCATGCTCTCCCCCGTTCCTTCCTCCCTTCCCCGCCGCAGCTGACCACAGACACGCGGCCTCAACACTTGCTAAGGAATAAGAAACGAGGGATTGTTTAAGCCGGTGTCCCCTTCCTGCTGCCCCAAGGTCCTCACGGCTCTCCAAGCCTGTGCCTCTGCTTACGCCTGTGTTCCCAAATTGGGGGGCTGCAAGGAGGCAAAGAGAAATGGACCTTCTGGCTCCCACCCCAAAGCCCCTCCTGGTAGAAGGCAAACTGCTATTTTGCCAGAAGCAGAGCAGGGAGGCTCCATAGGCTGCCTCTGTCTGGGGGAAGGGGCGTCTCCGGCATGTTCTCTCTTTGGGGGTGGCGGGGTGGAGGAAAGAGCCCAGCTCCCAGCAAATATCCCCCCTACCCCAGTGACTTGGGCCCCAGCTCGCAGGAAGCAGGGCTGAGGTTCAGCATGGTTGGATTGTAACGAGGGAGGACAGGAGGAAGCCAAGGAAGATGGATCGCCCCACACGGGCACAGCATCGCACAGAGGTCCAGCATGCCAGGACCTGGGCCAGCCTAATGGCTGGATCTGTTTTGATTAACGTTTTAATTGAGGATTAATGCGGCGTGACCCACCTCTGAGTCAGCCCAGCCAGGAGCCCTAACCCTGACCGATGAAGCTGCACAGGCAGGGGAAGGGCTGCATGGAGAGATCAGTGGGGTGCCCTCGACACCTCATCAGGGTCAGGGGATCACACAAGTTGGCAGGTGTGGAGCGGGGTGGGCAGAAAGAAATCAAAGACCGAGGAGCTCAGGAAAAACTTTTTTTTTTTTTTTTTTTAAAGAGTTGCATTGCACTTGGTTCATTTCTTACTGCCACCTATTACCACCAATTTAGTGGCCGAAAGCAACAAATTTATTATCTTACAGTTTGGGGGGATCAGAAGTCCAAATGGGTCTCATTGGGCTAACATCAAGGGGGCAGCAGAGCTGTGTTCCTTCTTGGGGGAGAGAGTTGCAGCACTTGGTTCATTTCTTACTGCCACCTATTACCACCAATTTAGTGGCCGAAAGCAACAAATTTATTATCTTACAGTTTGGGGGGATCAGAAGTCCAAATGGGTCTCATTGGGCTAACATCAAGGGGGCAGCAGAGCTGTGTTCCTTCTTGGGGGAGAATCCGTTTCTGCCTTTCCAGCTGCTGGAAGCTGCCTGCCTCAGCTCCTGTCTTCGCATCATTCCAACCTCTGCTTCTGTCATCACATCTCTTCCTCTGACTCTGATCCTCCTGCCTCCCTCTTATAAGGACCCCTGTGTGACATTGGGCCCACCAGTCGACCCAGGGTCATCTCCCCATCTCAGGGCCCTCGGTTTAATCACAGCAGCGTAATCTCTTTTGCCATGTTAGGTAACATATTCACAGGTTCCATCCAGGGCTTGGGACAAGGGCATCTTTGGGAGGCCACTCTTCTGCCAAGCACAGGAACGTGCCTCATCAGTTTACATTGCTGACGGGGAAACTGAGGCCCAGCCAAGCGAGTGACTTGACCTCAGTGCCAGGTGAGATGGAGAGCCAGCACTGAGGTCCAGCCCTCGGGAAGGAGTTGTCTGCTTCACATTCCTCCTCTGAGAGAGGAAATGCAAGGGGAGGAGCGGGCAGGGGAGGTGCCAGGCGTGCTGTGCAGAAGCCGTTCTAGCGAGCACAGAGCCCTTCTCATGTGCCGGGCGCGGCTCCAAGCACTTAGGAGAGTGCGATGATTACCCCCTTTACAGCTGAGGACACTCAGGCACAGAGGGGTGAAGTTACTTGTGGAAGGCTGCACAGGTGGTAAATGGTGAGCCAGGCAGCATGGTCCAGAGGCCACACCCTCACCCCTGGCTGGTGCCTGTCTACACCATGGGAGAGTTCTGCCCAGAGACCAAAATGGCAACTGGGAATTTGACGCAAGCAGGAGTTTTGTTGATTTCTTACTCTGCTCTTGTGCAAATACACAGTAGGAATAAAGATGTTTCCCCAGCTATGGGCAGTTGCCTGCTTCTCCCCATCCGCAAAGACTTTTCAAAAGCTCGTGCATAGAAAATAGAGACGAGAGACCCCGTCCCTGGCTTGTTTCTGGTGCTGGACACCCTCCCCGCTCCACCAGGAATGAGCAATGCAGGGGCCCAGTAAAATGCAGAGTCAGAGAGGTTTGCTCAGAATCCCACAGACCGGGCCTCCCTGGTGGCGCAGTGGTTGAGAGTCCGCCTGCCGATGCAGGGGATACGGGTTCGTGCCCCGGTCCGGGAGGATCCCACATGCCGCGGAGCGGCTGGGCCCGTGAACTATGGGCGCTGAGCTTGCGCGTCCGGCAACGGGAAAGGCCACGACAGTGAGAGGCCCACATATCGGGAAAAAAAAAAAAAAAAAAAATCCCACAGACCTCGCTGGAGTCTGGTTTCATCACCAGCGTCATGAGTTTTCACTTCTCAAAGCCTCAATTTCCTCATCTGTAAAATGGGGGTGTTGATAGTAACACCTGCCTCTTAGGGAAGGACGTGGGCTCGCACAGTTAAGGCTCTTCACAGCGCCTGGCGCCTAGTGTGTGATTATGGGCGGCTGTGACGTGTGTTGCTACAGCACTGTGAGTGGTCGGTGCTCTCTCTGCATTCCCCCCTCCTGCTCAGAAGACGGACAGGCCTAGGACTGGAAGAGTGGAGTCGAGAGAGGACAGCAGTTTGCCAAAACCCTGGAGAGACCCAA